AATTTTGCTGAAATTGATATTTCTAATTGCTCGAAGTCATTTAATTAGTCGAAATTCTAAACCGCTTTTTAGGAAATATCCTGTTTATTTGATCTATTAAAAAGGATCTTTAACGAATCGTTTTGAACAAATTTTCTACTGAAAATGTGAAAAAATCACGATAATTTCAATATTAAATGACGTATTAGATCATAAGAATGGTCCTAACCAAAAGCAATAACTTCACCTTTTCTCAAAACGATGGAGGAACTAAAACTACTTTCACATTAGCCCGTACTAAACGAACATACTGATCTCTATCAGTTTGGTTACAAATATGAACGAACTACTTTAGATGCGAGAGTTGTTCTGCACTATCGTATGGTGTTCAGTTTGGAAATGAATGCAAAGTACGTTAGATTAGTATTTCCAGATCATACTTTTGATGGTTTCACAGCTACTGTTGTCAAGCAATTTTCTCATTGTTAACACTGAGAACTGAATAACCAAGTAGAGGTGTTCCTACTTCTCTAGAAAGGAACAGTATTCTATGCACACAGGGGAATCTTTCTCAAAATGTTAAATTTAGCCTGAAATATGAAAAGCACCTAGACATCCTATTAAAATCACAAGATACGTTATTATCGGAGAATGTGTAATAAAACTAGGTCAAATCCCATTTATATAGGTGTAAGTTTTTATTCTGAACCGTCGAAGATAGACAGCGAGGCAATGCAGTTAATCTGTAGTTTTTATTTTGAATAGAACTGTAGAGAGAAATTTGAAATCTTGCAAACAACTGTCAGATGCAAGCCATCTACTTCATTCATACATTTCACCTTACATATCATTCATCATAATGAGACGCAGATATATAGGGATTCAAGCATTCAAACAGTAGCCCTACAATACAGTATCTACAATATATATATGTATATATTATACGACGAACCAGTTGTAAGTGCTAACCTAACCAAAAACTTACTCTTGAACCTGCTGTATTATGATAATGATCACTAAGAACTCGGAAATTTTAACCAGTGTTTTAATCCTAGGTTATAAATACTTAACAGTGGAGATACTATTCATTCCTGATAGATTCAAATCCAAGGTATCGAGATCACACATTGAGGTTGAGTTATTTGATAGAAATCCAATAACCACCAGCTTATTATAAATTTATACATTTTTAGCTAAGTTGGATTGTAGCCAGCAATTAAATCCAGCATGTAAGTTTCACTCTGTTTGAAAATAGTTAGTTGCATGTACCTACATTGTAGTGTTGAGTTCCACGTTCAGGTCAGATTATTATGATTTTATCTACTTTTATTGAAGCGGTTGAATAAAATTTTCATTTGACTTCTCAACTACTTACGGGTAATAATGTTACATTGAAATACTAAAATAAAATAAAGTCGATCAACAAATATATGCATATATATATATATATATATATATATATATATATATATATGTAATGGTAAGATATAAAATCCAGAATATGTGTTTTATCATGTTTGAGGCAAATCTGTATCACCATGTAAGCATCCAATATAAAATTTGAGTCAAGTAGATATTACTAAAAGCAACAAAATATCATCCGATAAGCTGTAAGTATAGTACTGCTCCAAATTCCCATGAATTCTTGTAAAGTGAGTATTTACATACAGTTTTCAATTATTTTGATCAGTCAGTCAGCCAGTCAACAGCAACGTAGAACTTCGTACATACGTACATCAGTTCAAGGTGCCATATCATATTAGCACAGAGATGCGGTTGTCGATTCAAATCCCACCCATAGTAGTAGAGGTAGCAAGAGTATTAGCAGTAATCAGAGAGACTAGGGTTTGAGAATATTATTCAAGAAGTAAAATCTAGTGAAATAAACTTAAAAAGAAAAAGATTAACGTGATGAGAAACTCTGAAGGTTAGAATTTGACAGAACACAAAGAATGAATACACCTGCGCTATTGCACACAATTTTGAGCCATATCATTCAGGGTCTCTAACCCTCGATTACTAACATCTCACGGGCCCCAACCAAGTAGTCGACACCCACAATCATGACTCAGTTCAATTGTCAGTGATCAAGTCAAATAAAATGAAATATTACTTTTTTTTAATGATTATTTGTACAAATATGTAGGCTCGTGATGATGATCAGAAGATAATTAATTACAAAAGACACAATCATTTTAATTCATTTTTCTAAAATAGTTTCTTTTTGTAAAAATTGAATAAAATCAGTCAAAAGATTTACATTCAGCATTATACAAAAATATCTCCTTTGTTTATCAACACAAATAAGAAAAAAAAATCAAAGTCAATATGGAAATGTACACAATTTGTAAATCTCTATCGTTCTGTTTGTCTTATCAATTCTTTAAACTATACAAAATAATACACATTACAAATATGTTAGTATTGATCATCATTAAACACCTTCAGTTGGTTCTAACTCAGCACGTGCTTTACCTTTATTTCTAGAAACTTTTTCAGTAGTATATTCAATTTCTTTTTCTTTATAATAATGCGGTGCAACTTCTAATAACCATTTTGATTCAATTTCAATAATTTGACGCATAAATTCTTTAGTTGTATAGACTAATTCATGATAAATAACCCATTTAGGCAATGCTTCAGCTAAACATGAATTTGGATGTGGATGAATTGTGTGCTTTTGTTTCACTGTTTTATAACCATTACCAGTGAATCGTGCAGTATGATAAAAAAATCCAGCAGTTATAGCCTAATGAAAAAAAGGAACAGAAAAAACAAACAACAAATTAAAAGAGAGAGAAAAATATGAGCAAAGAAGAAATAAAATACTTTTGTAGTGCGGGAACTTAATTAGAGTGTTCATTCATGACATTAACAGAGATAGAAACTCAAGAATTTCAGTCGTTTTAGAGAACTGGCATTCAACACTCTACATGTTTAATTTCAATAATGTTAGAAAGCTTTCGTTATTGTATGAAAATGAAATAACGACATGGCACAAAACTGCAGATTTACCTGAATGGCTGTTGTGTACAAAAGACAACCTATTCAACAAGATAATTCATTTGAAGGCATTTAAATCATAAAGCCATAAACTATCATGGATAACTCTTTTGAAGGGATTTTATCTCTCAAGAATATTCAATAGAAATTTAAGAATCATTTTCAGCGAATCATGCAACTATCTATCATTGTTAGTAACTCATTATTAATTTATAGAGTATTCTATTGGTGTATTATTGGTTCAAGAATAAACCTGTTCATTTATTACGATTGTTTCTGTAACAATGTTTCCAATAGATAATTTATACACCTGAATATTAATTATGAACTATTATTTTAGAAAAAAAACTGACGTATTACTATTGTAAGTCTAATTCTGGCGAATTATATTTGATAAGACATAACAGACACCAAACAGTCTCAATTAGTTACCTTTCGAATATTGACATGATCATGTGGATTATTCACTAGATCAATTTCAACTCGATCTAATAAACCGACAAACTGATCACGAATATCACGAGCTCGTTTCATAGTTCGATATTGAATAAATTGTTCATAACACCAATGCGAAGAAAAATCTAAAAGTATCAAATATGAAAATAATTTTTACAATTATAAATATTATAGTAAATTTTGTTGAAAATATTTATTTCAGTGGTAAATTCTCATGTCACAAAATTTGTTGCATATTCTTTTTCTGCTTGATGGTTGAAAATTCAAAACATTTTACTGACTTATTTAAGTTAGGAATCATTGAAACCTGTGATCTCTAATCATAATATGGGTGAACATAATTTTTACTGACGAATTGTCAAAAAAATTATTAGTAAAATCTTATGCATAAAAAAACAAAAATCATTTAGGCATAATCAAGTAGAAATGAATATTTTCATCAAATAAGTGTTGACAATATTGTTCACATTGACAATGAAAAATCTGCAATTGAACAATCTAGCTCAAGGAATTTAAATGAATATTTCCAAATGTAAAATAAGGAAATTTTATTTTTCTATGAAGTTTAAGCAACAATAGATCATTTTAAACCGTTTACTAATTGAAATTATTATGATCTAGCATACCAAAAAAAAATGTACATAAATCAACCTTATTATAAAGGAATTGTGTTCAACTACACGATAATAATGAATCCAGGCTCAATGGTGCAGAAGTGAAGTAATGACGCACAAGGCCGAAAGTCCTATGTCTGATTCCCGGCTGAGAGCTCATGGATGTGAACTATTGTGGAGCTCCATACTGCAATGGAATGACCATCTGGTGATTCCAAGTTTCTAATGGTTATAGAACATAAATCAGTTCATGATTTAAACGAAACACAAAGGAGATTAGCTAATATGTGAATCCGTAAATTAAATAGTTGAGTTGATCACAAGTACTGAAATATAGTGACATCAAGTAAAATGAATTTTTCCCAAAGAATATGCGAGTCAACAAATAATAAAATCAGCTGATAAGGAAATTTTACTCTGTTATAACCATAAATAAACACTTTTCAAACATATAAATGATTCCCTTTAGGAAATAAGATCATCAAATGACAGTAAATGATGTAACAATCTCATAATTTATTCAGTGAATGAGAAATAAATCCATTTAGTTTAAATACGGAAAAATTTTAAATGTACATGCTACATTTCGAGTTCACAAAAAATACTTTAAATAATTCAACAACAAAATCATGAGCGAATAACTTCTTTATGTAATTAGCATAATTTAAATTAGTAATAAACGGTACAAAGCTTTCCACTGAAAAAATTAAAATGATAGAGAAAAGCATCCTCAAATGATCAGCAGAGCTTATACTCACCATACTACTCTTATTATTTAAAGTAGTAACACATATAATAAAGAATTTCAACACGTTCAGATTACTGGACTGGACATTGAAGTGGATAAAAAGCAAACTATATTTATGGTTGAAAAGATAGTAATTTTTAGGAAAAGTAATCTCACATTCCGTAGCAAAATATAGATAGTGTAAATATTTGTATTACAATTTTTCAGTACAATGTATTAAGAAGTGAATGGGATAACATTTCAAATCAGTAACTATATAAAGAGATGTGTCTGAAACGATGAGTAGTACTGACAGTCGTTGACTGTTTATATCTAATTAGGCGAAAGAAAGTTTGAACTCTTCAATACCCATTCAAAGTTCAGTAACTATTTGAACTTTTATACTTTTAAAGAAGAGCAAGCGAATTAATGTCTTCCTATCAGTTCCCTTTTCATATATATAATGAAATTATGAAAAAGGAAAGAAAAAAGGAGCTCACCTGATTCTGCCCATTGATTATAAACATTCAACAACATAATATGATCACCGGCTACATGAGAAAAACTTTTTCGTGCTGTATCTGCATGAATTAATTTATCTTTAGGTCTATAGAAGATAGCATTATTTACAGAAAGCATAGATGCTATAGTAATTATATCACCGGAACATTTATACCTTTATAAAAGGAAATGAAAACAAAACTTTTACATCATTCATAGAGGTAACCAAATTATCATATACATATATTCATATCATTGTGGAACAATCAATTGAATGGGACTCATCAGTCTACATCAACTTCATTAACTACGAGAAAGCATTTGATAATGCGGACAGGACAAAACTATAGAGGCTTCATCTTGTTCGAATTAGTATGTGAATGTGTTTTGATTATCAGCTAGTATCATGATGTACCCTTTCACACACACAAATACACACGACAGTCCACCGTAGATGAAAGATTCGGACAATGATCACACCTAAGAAAATCATCTGTTTTTGTTTAGGTAATAATATAAACCTAATATAAATCATAACAATATATGATAGAGAATATTAAATATAAACTCTAATTATATTATTACTAATTCAACACACAATATACATTGTTTCAATGTGTAACCTACAAAAGTGAGTGTTAAAGAGCAGTTAACTTTTGCAGAGACTATTTATAGCCTACTTTCGACCAATATCAACTTTTGGTATACAAAACTTTCTATCTAGTTTTCCATTGTCTTCTACAATTTATCATATCTTTTGATAATCCAAAATACTTACTTATCTGAGGCTAAAATCATTTTTGATAATTGTGGATTACATGGGAATTCAGCCATTTGACGACCCATTTTAGTTAGTTCACCTTTATGATTTAATGCACCCAAGGCGTACAATTGTTCCAATGCCATAATTAAAGCATCATGTGGTGGAGGATCCATATAGTCAAAATGCAAAAGATCATCAATACCAAGAGATTTCAGTAATAAGACAACATTGCCTAAGTTTGTACGTTGTATTTCTGGAATAGGTTGCGGCTCTAATTCTGTGTGATAAGCATGTGAAGTATATAAACGAAAACATTTGCCTGCAGCTACACGTCCAGCACTACAATATATAAAAATAACAAAAAAATGTAATTAACTAGTACTATTATATAAAATATTCAAGCTATTTACAAAAGAAATAGACAATATTATGGTAATTCAAGAATTAAGATGGAAGTGTTGTGACCTCTAAGCTGAATTGTTTGGTTGTGAATTTTTCATTATTCAACAGAACAACATCATAAGCAAGTATTTGGGAGAGAGATGATCTGAAATCTGGTCGACAGAAGAAGCTGTTAATGAACTACGGGGAAATTCTAATAGTTCATTTTTCTTCAAATTACTTTCTGATGATATTGTTCTGAAGATTTATAAAAAAATTGCACAACCATACCATCCAGTTTACAGGCCACAACACTTCCTATTTCTCTATCTTGAGTTACACATCTCAAAGAAATTAAGTCAAGTCTGGAAACAGTTTACAAAAAGAATGTCACTAGTGAAATCTGAAGATAGATGAAAACAAAGTATGACACGGTATAAAAATGTATATCCTGTGTTAATCAAGTGTAAATCAATTTTTCTCCCCGCCTCAAAATAACTTTTATTCTCAAGTTAAGAGTAACCATTTAGCATATCTACCACATCAGCTACATGAATGACACAAATAATAGTTCTCAATTAAACTTGAATACAAAAAAACTATAACTATCACGTTGTAGTTTAGAAATAATAATTCTGTCATCAATCATAGAATTGCATTATGAAGGCATCGTGACAAACATTGTGATACACATAATCGTTTACTTTATACTATATGAATGGGGCTGAACAACGGTGATAACTTGACTTTCCAACGATGGATTTAAAATCAATGTAGAATAAATAACTGTAGTTTAATGGATATAAGTAAAAGAATTCAAGTTATATTTACATGATTACCATATGAACCCTTGAATGACATTAACATCTTCCGTTTTTAAATTTTTAAATAATTTTGAATAGTGATTGAAATTATTAGTACAATAAAAAAAAAAGAAATATCATCAATGAATAATACTAATCAGTGAGATAGACAATAATACAATATGAAAAATACCATCATTGGTAGAATCAACTTAAAATTCCATTGTAGTAATTTATCAGAATTTTAAATTGACAATTTTCTTCACTAAAAATTTCCTGAACTATACGTTCTTTATTTGTATCCTTTTATTTGATAAGTTTGTTGATGTTTTGATTAATTACTTCTTTTCACTTATTTTAATAGAAAATTGTTTACAGACAATAACAGTAAGTCTAGTACATTATTTTCTAAGAAAAAGTTTAATGAGTGTCTTTGGAATCAACATTTAACTCTTTCCGAATTGTATTAAATGAAGTTAAGTAAAATGGTGTAAAAAGTTGTGTATGTGTTCATTATTTGCGATAGTTGATAACATATTAGTATTAAAAAAACTGAGTTAAATGTATCAACTATGATTAAAAATAACAATAACGACAATAAAAAAAAACACTGATATACAGTGAACAAGGAAATAAGTTTATGATTACATTGAAAAATCTATTGGATTATGGATTATTCAAACAAATAACTAGAAATATCAGCCTGTTATGTACTTATAGTTGTAAAAAAAATTTTGGTTGTGTATAATCACAGTGAATAATAAATAACACTTTCGACAAGTGCATAAGTAAAATACCATAACTTTCAGATTACTTTTATTTTCATGTCATCGATTTTACGAAACTTATTATTTTTTTTATTATCCAGGACTTCATAATTACTTGAATAGTGTATATCTATCTGTCAACACTCTTGATACAACAGTGAAATGAAATGAATTGGTGTTAAAAGTACCAATGACAATTTAGATAATCGAATTGATAACTTGCCTAAACAACTGATTCTTTGTATATATCTAATAGAGATTGGATTTTATAAGATCAAAAAAAAAACCAAATGAATGAATATGAAAATACATATCAATAGATTAAAATGATCTTTGTATACACACATCACATACAATTAAAATATAATAATCAATAATTGATTGGTTTGTATGATTGGACAGTGATTCAATATATGTTGAAAAAATTTAGAATTATTTTTTAAAAAAAAAATACTAATAAATCAATAAATCGATTGATAAAATCACTTACCGTCCAGCTCTTTGATCAGCTGCAGCTTGTGATATTGGAACAACTATCAATGATTCAACACCAGATCGTGCACTATAAAATTTTTGCTTACAAAATCCAGTATCAATAACATAGATTATACCATCAATGGTAAGTGATGTTTCAGCGATATTAGTGGCTAAGACAACTTTTCGAGCACCTGGTGGAGTTGGTGCAAAAATTTTCGCCTATGATTTTGTAGAGATAAGAAAAAATTAACCACATTACATTTTTACATTATTTATTGAATTTAGTAAAAATATTTATATCAGTTAATGAATTTATTTGTCATTGGATTAGAGAAAAAAAAATTAACATTAACACAATTGTACTTGACCAGTAGTAAGTGAACGAGAAATCACATATCAAACATTTGATAAATTAACAAATTCTTATTATAGTGTTTAGATATGATTGGTGTAAATTCCTTAAGTTTTCTAATAACAAACAAACTTTGATTTTCTGGCTTCATCTTAAAAGTTAAAACTAATCGGACAATGAAAATGGCAAACGAGTAAGAATCTAATTGGTGGATTTGTTTTGCTACTGTCATTTTCTAAGTTGTTTTTTTTCAAAAAAATACCATGATTAGTACAGTGTGATTTGTCAATTTAATTAAAACTAAATAAAAATGGAATTTACTTTATTATATATCAAAGGATTTATTGAGTAGGTGAATGTGAATGCTAAAACGACGCGTTTGATTGCGTTGATGCATTCAGCTTAGACAACCCCACCCCACCTGAACATTGTTTATCACAAAAATTAAAAAAAACAAAATCTATAGCGACGAGTGAGAGGTACTGTTAGGTAATCACGATAAATCTAAAGTCATCCTATGTAATAAAGGTATATTTTGGTGTCACGTCTAGAAACCTGTAAACAAGAATAGATATTTTCCAAGGTTAATTAAAATATGCCTGCTTAGTGGAGCTGTAAACGAAAACTTAGTAGCATAGTTACAATATATCCAATCTTGTAGAAGATAACAAGAAATAAGCTATCTATAAGCTTTGTTTTATAATGCAAACAGAGTGAGTTCTATTCATCTAGTCTATTATTTTCCCTATAGAAATCCAATCAACCAATGTGGTATAATTGAATAAAACATTATATATAGAAATTAAAAGCACATATACCTGCATATCAGATGGAAGACTGGAATAAATAGGTAAAATTATTAATTCACGAATTTTACTCCCAAGTTTTCTTGTACGTTCCATTAATAATTCATTAGCAGTTTCAATTTCTTCTTGACCAGTTAAAAAGAATATAAAAACACCGGGAGGTTGAGTTACATGTATTTGAAGAATAGATATGATAGCAGCTTCAATATAATCAGCTTCTGGAGCCTAAAAAATAAAGTCCAATAAAACATTAAAAAACTTCATAATGCAATAAGGGATGGTATGAAATTTGAAAAACAACGGATAACGAGGCTAAAAGTAACAACTTAAAGTTCAAGGTCAAAGCTTTCCTGCCGGCTGCACTACGTATGACGGCAGTAAAGTCATCTCCTTAAACAGCTAACATCTACACAGACGCTGGCTCACAATATGAGGAATAGAAGTCAGTCTTAAAAATACCACACCTCACTTTACCCAACGGATTAATGTCACAGCGTAAGGTCTTATAAGGACGGAGGTAACAAATCAGAATTTTTGTGCAATAAGATCATGTGTGACATGACTCAAACAGCTATCTCCTTGGCTCTATTGTCATGCTAACAGGTCGCCAGGATTACTGCTAATCTCATCTTATATTTTGGTCCTCCAACAAGATGCATCCTTTCACAGCGTAAGGAGCTGGAAGTGACGATCACTTTTATACTCTTAACAGCACCCGATACTGACAGATAGTATAGAACATGATATAATTTTGTAAAACGGTCCATATTAGCACGTTTCACGAAAGTGCAAAATCAATTCAAGGCAAGAAAAAAGAGAACAATAATTACAAACGCTCTGATATTGTAATAATGGCTGGAGACTTAATGCTCAAGTAAGTAGATTAAGTGGAAGTGAAAGACACTTAGGTGGATTTTATGGTGTCGCGGCTCAGATAACAGGTAATGACGACCGTCTGTAGCAACTATGCTTAGATAACCGCCTATTCCTAGTAAATACTAACTTTAGACATAAGGAAAAACGTTTTTTGGCCTGTCGACCACCAAAGTCGTATCAACGTTGGATCCAACTAGATCACATCACCATCAGCCACCGATGGAAGGGTTCGATAGAGGACTGTTGCTCATTCTGGAGCACATTTTTAGATTCAGATCATGCTCTAGTGCGAGCGCGTATCTGTTTGAGGCTTACTGGACGTAAGAAAGACACCGTACGAAAGCCCCTTAGGGTTCTACCTAATGATAATATAGCTATGAGTACATTTCAGGAGCAACTGGACAGAGAGTTAGGCAATCATGTAAGCGATTCGCATCCGGAAGCAGGTTGGAATAATAAGAAAAAGTCTGTGGAAACGGCAGTGATATCTGCTGGTAAGGTTGATCATAAGGCTAGAATGAACCCGTGGATCTCAGTAGCATCCACCGATCTGATGGATGCCCGAAAACTCATTCCACCTCGCTCTAAACATTATGAAGAACGAAGTCAACTTAGGCGCAGGCTGATAAAAAGCCTACTCAACGACCGCGAACAGTGGTGGTGGCATAAGCAAAAGCGATGGAAAAGGCAGCGGCGATCGGCAACAGTAGACAACTTTTCCGACTTATCAAGGAAACTAGTATTAGGAATACTACTAAAAGTTAGACTATCACAGAAAATGTTATAACTATTATTTATTCTCAAGGCAGGAGATTGGATCGATGGACAGAACACTTTAGGGATCAGGTTCAACTGGCCTCGAGCCACTCTTCGGTTACCCACGATCTCCAGTCATCCTGAATGGCAAGTCGACGTAAGTCCCTCTAGTCTTAATGAAGTTGAGAAAGCGTTAGGAAATCTGAAGCGAGGGCGAGCTACAGGTCCTGATAAACTGACCCCTGAGATATTTAAGGATGGTGGTCCAGTTTTAGCAGCTAGGTTGACTGAGATCTTAGGTAGAATCTAGTAACTGGACACAATCCCATCCGACTGGTCTCAATCACTGATTGTCCCAATTTATAAGAAAGGACAAAAGTCTTCTTGTGACTAATATAGTTTCTAAATTGTTAGCCTCGATTATACTTAGACGTCTTACTAGTGCTCTTGAAGAGCAGACTACAGAAAACCGGGCTGGTTTTCGACCTGGACGTGGTTGTATAGACCACATCTTCACACTACGACAGGTCCAGTAACACAGACACACATATAGGCGTCCGACAATAGTTGTGTTCCTGGACCTAAAAGCGGCATTCGACTCAGTGGATCGTGAGGTTCTGTGGCAGTGTCTGTCATCGAAAGGTGTACCAAAGAAGTACATTAACCTTATACAAGCTCTCTACTCGAACACCACTGGTCGAGTGAGAGCTTAGGGCGAAATGTCACCAAAAAAAAAAAAAAAAAAAAAAAACGTCAGGGATGTCCACTCTCTCCATTCTTGTTTAATTTTATCATATACATGCTCCTAGATATAACATGATCCTCGTCTGAAATTTTAGGAGTAGACCTATTACGAGGAGGCTCGCTTATCGACTTAGAATATGCCGATGACATAGTCCTACTTGGTGAAGACGGCTGACAAAATGCAGAGTCTTCTGACTACCCTAAGCAACAATGCAAGCATGTTCGAGATGCGGATTTCCCTCTCGAAATGCAAAATGTTGCTTCAAGACTTGGTTGCATCGGCACCTGAACTAGTGATAGGGAGTGAAGTAGTCGAGCGTGTAGACCGCTTCACTTATCTGGGGAGTCTCATCAGAAATGATGGCCTGGTGACTGACAAAATCTCAGCACGGATTCAGAAGGCCCGATTAGCTTTCGCCAACCTGCGTCACTAATGGCGTAGGCGAGATATCCGTTTGATGACTAAAGGACGAGTGTACTGCGCAGGGGTTCGCTCCGTCTTACTTTATGGCTGTGAAACATGGCCAGTGAGAGTAGAAGATATTCCTACGGTACTGGTTTTCGACCATAGGTGTATTCGAAGCATTGCTCGTGTATCCTGGGACACCCGAGTGAGCAATGCTGTCGTTAGGAAACAAGTTCCAGGTAGGGATAGCAAATCAATACATGAAGCACTGAAACTTCATCAGTTGAGGTGATTGGGACATGTGCTGCGTATGCCTAACCACCGACTGCCTCGACGAGCTATGTTTTGCAATGTAGCAGTAGATTGGAAGAAAGCTAGGGGCAGCCAGACCAAAACATGGCAGAAATGCATGAAGTCACTGACAAGTGATAATCACTTTATCATGATAAAATTAAAACCAAAAAAGTTAGTAAAATAGAAAGAAAACTAATCATATTAAACAAAAAGTAAAGATTTTTCATCTAACAAACTAGTTTGAAACTTACTTTTGTGTAGTAGATATCAACCGGATAGCGACGACCCGGAATTCGGAATACGGGAGCATCATCAAAAATTGTAGCAAATTTCTCTGCATCTAAAGTAGCAGAACTAATTAGGAGTTTCAAATCGGATCGAAAACGAGCTACATCCTCAAAGAGTTAAATTAAAGAAAATATAGAATAAACAACCACGTTTTGTGAAAAATAAAATATGAAATAGTTCTTTTAAACCAAAACTATATATGGTCAAAAAGTTAGATCATCAAATTATTACCAAGATAAATTCGTCTATATTGGGTGTTTAAATCTTCCCACTAATGTTTAGGATTGTGATTGATCACTCTCTTTGGTATATATGCATCCAATGCGGATTACCTCGATATTGCCTTTAGGTTACAAACATTATTAGCAAAGGTGGATGACACGGTGGTATTTGAAACGAACGGTGCTAGGTTCGAGTGCCGGAGTGAATACCAACTCTGACGTATAGGTACATTCAGGTGACGAGTCCAAATAGGATGAAGCGCACGTCCTAGATCCCACTGCTAGCCACTATTCACATCTGATAGTGGTAAATTTTTATTTAAATCTGTTGAATTGAATCCGTATAGATTTGTGTTGGTAAACAATCGGTATTCTATGGATAGTTTGACATTTATTTTGATCAAACCATGATGTTCGTTAACAGTCATTACTAATCAAATTTAAAATAGGTATTTATTCTAGTCAACCTGATTGATTATTAATACGTATGTGAGTAACCGTAATAATAAGTAATATGGTGAAAATTTTATCCGTAGGTAATTCCTGCCCGCATATCAGGGCTGTCACTACGAGATCGTAGAAAACCATGTATCAGAATCCCCAGGGAGTAAATGGTGTGTGAACCTATTGTTGTTCAGTAGCTACAGTGAGGTGACATCTCCTGACGTTACTCCACTAACTTTTGGACTAGACTTGTAAGTCAGACTTGAAGAGTAGCCTCCTAAGAAAACCACTAGCTTCAATTTAGACACTCCGAAGGAACTTCAGCCCATAACCGAACTCATTGATTTGTGTGGCGCATGAATATTTAGATTCCACTGTATACCAACAATTGTGTTTAAGTAGTAATAAGGATAATACAGTAAATTATTTCAGTCAGCTAATAAACCATCAGGATGTAATCTTTAACCGAATTAGAAACAAGGAGTTTGTTACGCTTACATCTTATAGTTTATGTCTTATATTTTTAATTTATGTCACACAATAGATATGATTAGAACCTGTTTGGTCAAATTGTAGTGATCAAACAGTATCACCTGGAAAGTTATTTTGGAGTACAATTGAGTACAATTCGTGAGTACAATACGTGACGCAAAGCATGATAAACGAATTCCTAAATAAAAACTGGTATTCTAATTAACGAGAACGATGAGTGATTTTAATTCATTTGATTAGAAATCATATAAAATATGGAAGAAAGTAGTTTATTGTGGGCTCAGTGATATATACATTTTAACTTCTAAGCAATGAATTACTGATTGAAATAAGTATAATGTACTTTTATCTAGAGAGTTGGGGAGTATCACAGGACTTTGAATACTAGTGACTAGATGATAGATTAGAAGATAAGTTTTCTTGAAATCTCTAGTGTATAATTATAGAAAACGAGAGAACTGATCGAATAAATATATTTTACCTTTACTAAGCCGAATAGTATATCTGTATGTAGTGTACGTTCATGTGCTTCATCTATAATCATTACTGAATAACTACCCAAATCCGGTTCTGTGAGAAATTCACGTAAAAGCATACCGTCTGTCATATACTTTATTATTGTATGTTCTGAAGTACAATCCTCGAAACGAATACTGTATCCCACTTCAGATCCTAGTCTAACAGACATTTCTTGGGAAACTCGAGCAGCTACTGACATGGCAGCAACACGACGAGGTTGTGTACACCCGATACGTTTTCCCCCAGAACAATAACCCTAAAGAAGAATAAGACGTTTTAACAGACAAAAATGATTAGTAATGTCAAAGTATTTATATTAAGATTAAACTATAAATTCAAATGTGTTAACTGAAAAGCAGCTAAACAAACTTTGTATGTTGCAATAATTCTTTGTTTCGCTGATTGGAAAACTTCATATACACAGTAATATGTCACTTAGAACGATGGTTTATCATTGAGAAGAATTTGACAAAAATACATCGACAACTTAATGCTGTCCATAACATCGAAAAAAAAGAGAAGATAACTTCCAATACCTACTAAAAAGTATTGAAAATAACACTACATGACAAACATATCAAGTCATTGCACAAAATGAAAATGCTTCAGAGAAGAAAATTTCCTCTACAAGCTGTACAATTCTATTTACGATTATTTTCTTTACAAATAATATAAATCAGTCTGCAGAATGAATTTTAAACATCTGGTCAGTTCTGACCATCGATCTAAATTAGAGTGCTTATTTAGTATTATTCCTAAGATAAAATAAATTAGTCAGACAAGAAGTCTGAGACTGACGATTCATCAATTCAAAAATGATCAACGGTCAAGTAGAGTCTTTCATATTTTGCTCATTAATATTATATCATTGTTATTATCCTTTTTGACTATTAAATGATTCCAAATACTAATTGAATTTTCGTATCACCTTTAATGATGAAACAAGTCTCTATTTCTATTACAGACCACTGTATGTGAAAAATATAATTGTTCAGCTCTAATGAATACCAACGTCAGTCAGTTGCAACGTAGAACTTCGTACGTAAGTACATCAGTTCATGTCGCCATACCACATCAGCACAGAGATGTAATTGTCGATTCAAATCCAATAGTAGAAGAGGTAGTAAAGGTATTAGAAGTAATCGGAGAGGTTAGAATCAGAAGATATTATTCACGAAGTATGATTCAATGAGATAAGTTTAGAAAGTAAAAGCTAGAGGTGTTGAAGAACCCACCAACGTCGGAAAGAAAATTTTCTTCATTCAAACATCTTAATACACAGAAATTCAACATAGCAACATTATCAAACTATTCCTATGAGTCTGTTGAAAGAAGTGTTAGATAAAATTCTTTATTTTAAGTATACAATCATTAATCGTGTAAGAAATACTAGTACATTTCTAACTAATGTGATTATTACCTGAAATGGTTTAAAAAAATAAAAATCTCGATTGGGATGAATTGTCTACTATCAAATATTTAAAGTATAAGAATGAGATAAAAAATCCCAATCTTCGAAACTGCCTAAGGGATGAAAATTTTATTTAAGTTTTGAACAGCACAAGAACTAAAAATAATAAACTCCAGTACGTGACCATCATTTTGTTTTAAGTACACCAGAAAGTGACAATGAGAGTGATGATAACTTTACATGCTACTCTATCTATTCAATACTGGAATTCAATAAGAAGACAATTATCAACGTAATTACAAAGATAATTGAGGCAAACCTTGATGTCATATTTATGCAGTGTTACCTAACTATATTACTAATGAGTAATTATAATAATCACTGGACATTTTTCTTCGCTTGCTTTTCATCACTAAATTAGAAGCGTGCTAGCCATTGGATCAATTAAAATAATGAATATAATTGCTTGGTCATATTAAGGTGACCATTATTTTCCATCGATATTTACACTCAAGATTGCAGACTTGTTATTGGCTTCATTCACGTGAAATCAAACTTACAATTCAAAGAAATTTCTGTTCAGAATTAAGTCACATATGTATAAATCTAGACTAATAGAAGATAGTCCATTTTGATTCTGTCCTACTTTGGATGCATTTAGTCAGATTATAGTCAAAATACAAAACAGATTAACCTATTTGTATTAAAAAAGATTACTAGTCTACCACTAATACATCAGTCTTCTACAATATCACCACCTCAGATAACAATTTTATTCGAAAACGTATACTATGAATTAGAAATATTACTAGAATGATCTGCTTAAATGTACTTTTGCTTCTCATAAACTTTCTTTATGATAATGGGATTAAAAAAAAATAAAATATAACATATATACCCATAATTATACTGGTATATAGACACAATAAGGTAGAACTTTGTAGAGAATTAACTGACAGTTACATAGGAAGTGATGATTAGATTCGATAAAAGTGAATTTCAAAAATGTTATTTTGTTTTGCAAGAGATTTAATGGACAAATTTACGATGGAATGACCATAAAGAATTAATGGGATTTTGTTTCCCCGTTGTCTTAACACAAATGGGGAAATTCATTAACTGATTGCTTCATATATATTTTCCATATGCGGATTCTTTTCACTCTTCCATCATTTTTTTTAGTACGAAGTCAAAAAGTGGTACTTTGGTTGAAACTCTTCTTACATTTTAAACTTACGCAATAGGCAGCAGTTATTAAAAAAGCCGAGGGATAGCTTAGAAAATGACAATCGCGTCATTAATAGTGAAATATGCAGAAAATTCAGGACATTTTACCTCACATTTACAATTTGACAGCGTTGTCACGATCTAGTCACATATTTTGAGAGACTACTTCCTAAAACTAATTTACACAGTTCAGCCAGATTCATTTTATTAATAAATTGTTTTATTTCTAGTACACTTTTGATAATATTCTATAGGGAAATTATAAAATAGCGTGATATTTGTGATATTATGTTTCTTTCGTCTATCCCCCTTTGATAACTTTTTGTAAGCTCATTTGAATAAATTTAGTACTAAAAAAATTTTTAGCACTGAAAAAGTGTAGCGGATCCAAGCAAATGCATGGAAGGACTTACAATGGACGGTTGGTTATATTCAGAATTTTATTTGAATTTCTTGGGACAAAATAGTTTAAAAATTGAAGTTTATTGTGTTTATTTTCAATTTTATAAGTGAATTTGATATGAGCTAGGAAAGTGTTTGACAATTTGCAAAGGTTTCTTGCGAAAATCTTTTTAATGACCACAAATATGTCATCTACATAATTAAGCCAAATAATGTGCGATCTGACAAAACTGAGAAAAGTATAGGATATGGATAAGTTAGCGATAATAGGGGACATAACGGAGTGAGATAATATCATATAGAGTCTATTCGGAAATGAAAAATGTTGAATTTAACTATAGTTTGAGGGTTTCCTTATTAAGCTGAGGTTTACAAGATATTTCCTAGATAGAGTACTATTAATCTGTAGTAAACCCTTGGTAAGGTCTCGACCTCTATCAACTGGAATACTAGTGTATTTGGTTTGCGCTTCTGCAATCTTGTTGTTTATTTTCTGAAAAAGCAACTCAACTTAAATCGTGAAACTTTGAAAACTCGATTTCATACTCATCGTGACATTATAAATATATGATTATCTTATTATTTTACAGAGTATTCGAGTTGTTTAGCTTCAAGTGAACACCTGGTTTAATTTTATATGTATTGTTGTTTATTTCGCTATGCATTAATTTTTATGTATATCCTCAATAGTGGTGACTAGATTCATAAAATTCAGAGCGAAACATATTTTCTTTAAAAACCAGCATAAATGCTGAGTAAATTATAAATAAGTACACATCTTATGATAAACATACCGCTTCGTACAAATACTGAGGAATTTGAGTTGTTTTACCAGAACCTGTTTCACCTTCTATGATTAAAACCTGATGATCAGCGATAGCTTGTAAAAGGGCATCCCGAAATTTATAGATTGGGAGCGAGCGCTTTGCTTCTTTAAGAGCTTCATATTTATTAGTAGCCTTTTGTTTCTGCTCTTCATCTGGATTGACTTCTTGTTCAACGTTGGCACCAGGTCGAGTTAACGTTTTTAAAAACTCTATTTCATCATCCAAAATAAGATCATATTTCACCTAAAAATAACAAAACACATTATGCTATCACCATGGGTAAATTGGAAAACTCAGAAAAAGTAATGAAGTTAAATAAAATCTACTCCATAATCACTTTGGTTAACTTTGATACAATCTAAAGGTTACATTAGTGATTATAAACGAATGACATCATATATATATATATATATATATATATATATATATATATATATCGATTTGACTCACACTTCACAATACTGTACTGAGGGAAAACCGGTCACATAAAAAGCAAAAGAGTCTAAGTGATCGTATCAATGATATTAAAAAGGCAACACAGGAGATGCAGTTTGGAAAAAATTAATGGATCGGAAAAACACCGAAAAAGTATGCAATACTATTAAAGCTTAAGATTTAAAGGATAATGAGTGAATGCTTAAGTGCAACTGGAAATGATTTTGATTCATCCCCTTTAACATCGCCAGGCACAAAGTATTTTTATCTTAAGGATCACATAGTCAGCTCAGCCAAATAGTCGAAAATTTAATTAGCTGAAGATATCTCTTGGCAATGAATTTTCACGGATTCCGTGACCGGTTTACTGTCTAAAACCAGTACAGCACAAGTCCGCTCAACATTATCCTTTCAACTGTTCCACATTATGTCGTTGACCTTTTGAAGATATCTGTGGTAAAATACTAGCACTTTGTTTTTTTTATCTTAAAGTTTCACAATTCGCAACAGTAAAATAAAGCAGAAGGAATTTATGTATGATGTGTGTACTCCCCAATAGATACATCGAATTTCTGGATTTAGTTTAAAATATTCAACTCTGTTAAGTTTTTTTAGTAACATGGATCACTTTCTCTGAAAATCCATTCACTTTTAGTATTCATAATTTGTGAGTGAGGGGGGACTAAAAACATTCAAAAGTTCCAATTTATCTTTAAGTTAGATTTTTGTTATTTTACGTAATAAAATGACATTTAGTAATCTAGAATTGTCGCTCTTATTATTTGTGGGAAATGCTCCAGAATGCCAACATTGGTTTTATTTAAGTTTCAAACAGGCTACGTTTTAAGGATGTACAATTTTGTTTCTTAAAATTAGGATTATTTTAATGTTCCAAACTAAATAAACTTGCTAGTTTGAATATAGCTGAGGAAAATCCGAGATAAAATGAACTCATCGTGTCCTAAAAATATCACTTAGTTTACATTTGTGAATGAAACCAATTACAAGAAACTAAACGTCATGGTAGGGTCGATGGTAGGTGGAGTCCGCTATCTCTCCAAATGTTTTCATATAGCCACTATCAGGCAAGTTCTACTCACTACCCTCTCGCGGTAAGAAGAAAATCCACCAAAGCAGTCCATGTGATGTTGAATCGCTTAGTCTAGTAGTCACACTGTAACCTAGTTGATAGAATTATATCCGCATTAAGTACTAGACAAGTATGATACTGATCACACTCAGTGATCATTCAGTATATTAGAATTGTGATTTATTTGAGTTGAGGAATATACGTCCCCCCTACGTGGATGAAACTTGGAGTAAGCTGAATGAGTTCAGCACTTCAAATAGTCGTAACACCGAGTGACTTTTATACTAAAGTAGAGCCAACCTATGATACTAACAATGCAAGTATGCTCGAGATGCGATTCTCCTCATCGAAATGCAAAATTTTGCTTCAGGATTGGTTTGCATCGGCATCCGAACTTGTGACAGGGAGTGAAACAGTTGAGCGCGTCGACCGCCTCACTTATCTTGGGAGTCTCATCAGTCCTGATGACCTGGCGACTGATGAAATCTCAGCGCGGATATCGAAGGTTAAAATGGCTTTTGCCAACTTGCGTCACTTATGGCGTGGGCGAGATATCCGTCTAATAACCGAAGGACGAGTCTACTGAGCAGCAGTTTGCTTCGTCCTACTATGTGGATGAGAAACTCGAGCTGATGTACGTATGTACGAAGTCCTACGTTGTAGCCAACTGAAAATCTCTAAGTCTGTTTGTCAGGTTCTTAGTAAATAACAGATTGTTAGTTACTTTAAACTGAGGATTTCGGTGATTTAACAACCTGGTGACCGGCTAAAACAGGCTATACTGGTGTTCTAACTCCACGTGTTAATACATCTCCAGTACACCTTTTAACTTAGAATTTAATTGTCAAGGGTGATAACCAGTGCAAAAATATTTTGCTAAGTCGTTCTGATTACTTACGAATGGTCAAGATTTATGATTTTTACTTTCTCACTCATCAGCAATATAAATCTTGATTAATAAATGTCAAAAAGCAGGAAACGGCCTCCTGAAGCGGTCAGAGGTCGTTCCTAATCTTAGTTTATAGTACCATCCAAGCAGTATAAGACCTGAAAGTATCAGAACGACTTAGCAAAATATTTTTGCACTGGTTATCACCCTTGACAATTAAATTCTAAGTTAAAAGGTGTACTGGAGATGTATTAACACGTGGAGTTAGAACACCAGTATAGCCTGTTTTAGCCGGTCACCAGGTTGTTAAATCACCGAAATCCTCAGTTTAAAGTAACTAACAATCTGTTATTTACTAAGAACCTGACAAACAGACTTAGAGATTTTCAGTTGGCTACAACGTAGGACTTCGTACATACGTACATCAGCTCGAGTTTCTCATCCACATAGTAGGACGAAGCAAACTGCTGCTCAGTAGACTCGTCCTTCGGTTATTAGACGGATATCTCGCCCACGCCATAAGTGACGCAAGTTGGCAAAAGCCATTTTAACCTTCGATATCCGCGCTGAGATTTCATCAGTCGCCAGGTCATCAGGACTGATGAGACTCCCAAGATAAGTGAGGCGGTCGACGCGCTCAACTGTTTCACTCCCTGTCACAAGTTCGGATGCCGATGCAAACCAATCCTGAAGCAAAATTTTGCATTTCGATGAGGAGAATCGCATCTCGAGCATACTTGCATTGTTAGTATCATAGGTTGGCTCTACTTTAGTATAAAAGTCACTCGGTGTTACGACTATTTGAAGTGCTGAACTCATTCAGCTTACTCCAAGTTTCATCCACGTAGGGGGGACGTATATTCCTCAACTCAAATAAATCACAATTCTAATATACTGAATGATCACTGAGTGTGATCAGTATCATACTTGTCTAGTACTTAATGCGGATATAATTCTATCAACTAGGTTACAGTGTGACTACTAGACTAAGCGATTCAACATCACATGGACTGCTTTGGTGGATTTTCTTCTTACCGCGAGAGGGTAGTGAGTAGAACTTGCCTGATAGTGGCTATATGAAAACATTTGGAGAGATAGCGGACTCCACCTACCATCGACCCTACCATGACGTTTAGTTTCTTGTAATTGGTTTCATTCACAAATGTAAACTAAGTGATATTTTTAGGACACGATGAGTTCATTTTATCTCGGATTTTCCTCAGCTATATTCAAACTAGCAAGTTTATTTAGTTTGGAACATTAAAATAATCCTAATTTTAAGAAACAAAATTGTACATCCTTAAAACGTAGCCTGTTTGAAACTTAAATAAAACCAATGTTGGCATTCTGGAGCATTTCCCACAAATAATAAGAGCGACAATTCTAGATTACTAAATGTCATTTTATTACGTAAAATAACAAAAATCTAACTTAAAGATAAATTGGAACTTTTGAATGTTTTTAGTCCCCCCTCACTCACAAATTATGAATACTAAAAGTGAATGGATTTTCAGAGAAAGTGATCCATGTTACTAAAAAAACTTAACAGAGTTGAATATTTTAAACTAAATCCAGAAATTCGATGTATCTATTGGGGAGTACACACATCATACATAAATTCCTTCTGCTTTATTTTACTGTTGCGAATTGTGAAACTTTAAGATAAAAAAAACAAAGTGCTAGTATTTTACCACAGATATCTTCAAAAGGTCAACGACATAATGTGGAACAGTTGAAAGGATAATGTTGAGCGGACTTGTGCTGTACTGGTTTTAGACAGTAAACCGGTCACGGAATCCGTGAAAATTCATTGCCAAGAGATATCTTCAGCTAATTAAATTTTCGACTATTTGGCTGAGCTGACTATGTGATCCTTAAGATAAAAATACTTTGTGCCTGGCGATGTTAAAGGGGATGAATCAAAATCATTTCCAGTTGCACTTAAGCATTCACTCATTATCCTTTAAATCTTAAGCTTTAATAGTATTGCATACTTTTTCGGTGTTTTTCCGATCCATTAGTTTTTTCCAAACTGCATCTCCTGTGTTGCCTTTTTACTATCATTGATACGATCACTTAGACTCTTTTGCTTTTTATGTGACCGGTTTTCCCTCAGTACAGTATTGTGAAGTGTGAGTCAAATCGATATATATATATATATATATATATATATATATATATATATATATATGATATCATTCGTTTATAATCACTAATGTAACCTTTAGATTGTATCAAAGTTAACCAAAGTGATTATGGAGTAGATTTTATTTAACTTTATTACTTTCTCTGAGTTTTCCAATTTACCTATGGTGATAGCGTAATGTGTTTTGTTATTTTTAGGTGAAATATGATCTTATTTTGGATGATGAAATAGAGTTTTTAAAAACGTTAACTCGACCTGGTGCCAACGTTGAACAAGAAGTCAATCCAGATGAAGAGCAGAAACAAAAGGCTACTAATAAATATGAAGCTCTTAAAGAAGCAAAGCGCTCGCTCCCAATCTATAAATTTCGGGATGCCCTTTTACAAGCTATCGCTGATCATCAGGTTTTAATCATAGAAGGTGAAACAGGTTCTGGTAAAACAACTCAAATTCCTCAGTATTTGTACGAAGCGGTATGTTTATCATAAGATGTGTAATTATTTATAATTACTCAGCATTTATGCTGGTTTTTAAAGAAAATATGTTTCGCTCTGAATTTTATGAATCTAGTCACCACTATTGAGGATATACATAAAAATTAATGCATAGCGAAATAAACAACAATACATATAAAATTAAACCAGGTGTTCACTTGAAGCTAAACAACTCGAATACTCTGTAAAATAATAAGATAATCATATATTTATAATGTCACGATGAGTATGAAATCGAGTTTTCAAAGTTTCACGATTTAAGTTGAGTTGCTTTTTCAGAAAATAAACAACAAGATTGCAGAAGCGCAAACCAAATACACTAGTATTCCAGTTGATAGAGGTCGAGACCTTACCAAGGGTTTACTACAGATTAATAGTACTCTATCTAGGAAATATCTTGTAAACCTCAGCTTAATAAGGAAACCCTCAAACTATAGTTAAATTCAACATTTTTCATTTCCGAATAGACTCTATATGATATTATCTCACTCCGTTATGTCCCCTATTATCGCTAACTTAGCCATATCCTATACTTTTCTCAGTTTTGTCAGATCGCACATTATTTGGCTTAATTATGTAGATGACATATTTGTGGTCATTAAAAAGATTTTCGCAAGAAACCTTTGCAAATTGTCAAACACTTTCCTAGCTCATATCAAATTCACTTATAAAATTGAAAATAAACACAATAAACTTCAATTTTTAAACTATTTTGTCCCAAGAAATTCAAATAAAATTCTGAATATAACCAACCGTCCATTGTAAGTCCTTCCATGCATTTGCTTGGATCCGCTACACTTTTTCAGTGCTAAAAATTTTTTTAGTACTAAATTTATTCAAATGAGCTTACAAAAAGTTATCAAAGGGGGATAGACGAAAGAAACATAATATCACAAATATCACGCTATTTTATAATTTCCCTATAGAATATTATCAAAAGTGTACTAGAAATAAAACAATTTATTAATAAAATGAATCTGGCTGAACTGTGTAAATTAGTTTTAGGAAGTAGTCTCTCAAAATATGTGACTAGATCGTGACAACGCTGTCAAATTGTAAATGTGAGGTAAAATGTCCTGAATTTTCTGCATATTTCACTATTAATGACGCGATTGTCATTTTCTAAGCTATCCCTCGGCTTTTTTAATAACTGCTGCCTATTGCGTAAGTTTAAAATGTAAGAAGAGTTTCAACCAAAGTACCACTTTTTGACTTCGTACTAAAAAAAATGATGGAAGAGTGAAAAGAATCCGCATATGGAAAATATATATGAAGCAATCAGTTAATGAATTTCCCCATTTGTGTTAAGACAACGGGGAAACAAAATCCCATTAATTCTTTATGGTCATTCCATCGTAAATTTGTCCATTAAATCTCTTGCAAAACAAAATAACATTTTTGAAATTCACTTTTATCGAATCTAATCATCACTTCCTATGTAACTGTCAGTTAATTCTCTACAAAGTTCTACCTTATTGTGTCTATATACCAGTATAATTATGGGTATATATGTTATATTTTATTTTTTTTTAATCCCATTATCATAAAGAAAGTTTATGAGAAGCAAAAGTACATTTAAGCAGATCATTCTAGTAATATTTCTAATTCATAGTATACGTTTTCGAATAAAATTGTTATCTGAGGTGGTGATATTGTAGAAGACTGATGTATTAGTGGTAGACTAGTAATCTTTTTTAATACAAATAGGTTAATCTGTTTTGTATTTTGACTATAATCTGACTAAATGCATCCAAAGTAGGACAGAATCAAAATGGACTATCTTCTATTAGTCTAGATTTATACATATGTGACTTAATTCTGAACAGAAATTTCTTTGAATTGTAAGTTTGATTTCACGTGAATGAAGCCAATAACAAGTCTGCAATCTTGAGTGTAAATATCGATGGAAAATAATGGTCACCTTAATATGACCAAGCAATTATATTCATTATTTTAATTGATCCAATGGCTAGCACGCTTCTAATTTAGTGATGAAAAGCAAGCGAAGAAAAATGTCCAGTGATTATTATAATTACTCATTAGTAATATAGTTAGGTAACACTGCATAAATATGACATCAAGGTTTGCCTCAATTATCTTTGTAATTACGTTGATAATTGTCTTCTTATTGAATTCCAGTATTGAATAGATAGAGTAGCATGTAAAGTTATCATCACTCTCATTGTCACTTTCTGGTGTACTTAAAACAAAATGATGGTCACGTACTGGAGTTTATTATTTTTAGTTCTTGTGCTGTTCAAAACTTAAATAAAATTTTCATCCCTTAGGCAGTTTCGAAGATTGGGATTTTTTATCTCATTCTTATACTTTAAATATTTGATAGTAGACAATTCATCCCAATCGAGATTTTTATTTTTTTAAACCATTTCAGGTAATAATCACATTA